AAAAATTTTTAAAGGGGGAAAAATTTTGGGGGGGGGGGAAGGTACTGGGAGGAAAGACTGTATGGGGAGGGTGTTACTGGGAAATGAGCGTTTTTAGCTGTACTGGGAAGGAGAGCTTATGGGGGGGGGGCTGAGTGGGAAAAAAGCTGTATGGGGGGGGGGAGCTGTACTGGGAAAGAGCTGTACTGAAGAAAAAATGCTGTATTGGGGGGGGAGCTGTACTGGGGGGGGAGACTTTACTGGAAGGAAAGCTGACTGGGGGGGAGGGAAGGAGAGTTGCTTTAAAGGAGGGAATTGTACGGGGGGGGGGGGGGAACTTATCTGAGGGGGTAAGAGCTGTACCTGGGGGGGGGGGGAACTAGTAATGTGGAGGGGCAAAGTTAATAGGAAGAAGAGCTTGTACTGAGGCGGGAGCTGTAATTGGCTTGAGAGCTGTACTTGGAAGGAAAGCTTTACTGTGGAGAAGAGCTGTACTGGAAGGGGAGCTGTACTGAGGAAAAATAATAGCTTGTATTGGTTGGGGGAGCTGTACTGAGGGGAGTATAAGCTGCCCTGGGGGGCGAATGTAACTGGGAGGGACTTTACTGGTATTGGGACCAAAGCTGTTTATGGAGGGGTGCTGTTACTGAGAGGACAATAAGCTGTAGTGGAGATGGAGAGGGATGTACTGAGGGTGGGTCTTATACTGGGGGGGGGGGGGGAGCTGATACAGGGGGACAGATCTATTCTGAGGGGGAGATTTGTACAGGGGAAAGCTTGTACTGGTGGGGAGATGTATACAGTGGAAGCTGCAATAGGGGGGGAACTATACTGGGGAAGAAAACATCTGTAGACCATGAGGGAGCAGAGCTTATTACTGGGAGGGAAAGATGTACTGTGGGGGAGTTGTTCTGGGGAAAGAGTAATACTGAGGGGAGACGAGATTTGTCCTGGGGGAGTTTCGGTACAAGGGAAAGAGGGTAGTAGACTGTACATGGAGAGGGGAAGCTTGTACTGAGGGGGAGTGTTGTACTGGGAAAGAAGTTAATAATGGAGGGAGAGGTGAGTAATTGGGGGAAGAGTTAGTACTGAGGGGAGAGCTGTTCAAGGAAGGACATCTGTACTAAGGGGGTGGAGATGTACTTGTAGGGCGAGCTGTTAATGGGAAGGAGCACTTTACTGGGGTTAGAGCGCAAGGTTGTGGAAGGGAATTTGGTTTGGGGGAGGGCTAGGCATTTTTGGCAGGGAATTTTTTTGCCTGTATTCCTGCCACCTGACCTGCTTACATTTACACTCTCCTTGACCTTCTGTGCTTTCTATTTCATCCTTATAAGCTCTGTATCTTATTAAGTTACACCAACGTCTTTTAACTACCTCCTGTGTCTTACGTGCTACTCATTACCCCTGCTGCCACTTCTGCGATGATATAATAGCCCTGGTTTATATAGGCCCTGCTGGTGTGCTATATAAGAGGGGAGACACGAATTTTGGAGGGGAACTCCATAGCGCAAGTAAATGTTATGGGGTCAGGTGATTGCAAAGCGGTTGGTAAATGGAGTGCAGCAGGATGTATGCACCCCAAACCAAGGAGGAAAAGGAAGCCAATCCTATACCGTGGTAGTAGCTGAGGAAAGCCGCCTTCTGTACACTGTATGATGATCGGCTGCCACCTGGACTGAGCTGACTGAAAGTCAGGGGTGCTACAATGAAGGTCCAAACAATAGCCAGTTTGTTTTGAGCCTGCCGAAGCAGAAATGGTGAGATGTTGATGGTTTCAGTGATGAGAATATGGAGTTGTTGGTGTTCCAGAAACCACTTCTTTGGCTCCTCCATAGGACTGGGCCTTGTTTTGTAGTCGATGCTGATCTTTTCTCGTTTAGAGGGACACGGGGACATAGAAAAGTGATGTGAGGGGGGTCTCTCTATGTTAGATGTGATCTTAAAGTACAGGATGAAAGATGAACTTGTGGTTGGAGGTGGTGATGGTGCGGAGGAGGAATTACGGGAGGAAATGATAGATGGGTCTATTGACTGATGGACTTATCATTGGAGAGTATACTGCATACATCTATGAGGTTTATTGAGAAGGGGGAGAGTTCGGCTGTGCCAAAAATGGTGATGGTGCGGAGGTGGAAATTACGGGTGGATTGATAGATGGGTCTATGGTACTGTTGGACTTATCCTTGGTGGTATTACTACAGACATCCTGGGATAGTCTACGAGGACGAGGAAAAGTCGGATCTGTTCCAACAAGGTTGATGGATGCCGTAGGAGGATTTTATGGGCCGAATGATAGATGGGTCTATGGACTCCTTATCATTTGGGAGTTATTACTAGAAGACGTACTGTCGGCAGTGTATTCCAACATGGCGAGGTGCGGAGGAGCAATTTACGGGTGGACATGTTAGATGGGACTATTGGACTGTTGGACTTATTTATTCGGAGTATACTACTGTTCACGGAGATCTCAGCGATTACCCGCGATCGATCAGGTACCGGGCTCAGGAGCCAGTGCCGCTGCCCTGCATGTGCAAGGGACACGGGCCACTAGGTCCGGGCCGGCCGCGGCGTTCGAGTTCGCGCCGTGAATGCGCAGTAGAAGCTGCGGCGCCCGACCGCGGCAACAATGGCAGAAGCAGGGAGAGGATATTTAAAACGACCCCTGAGCTGTCATTCAGTGCCTTCTGGGTCTTTAACCTGCTATCCTGCGAACCTATACCTAGTAAGTTGTTGACCCGGATTGTTCTTGGACCTGCGGTATTTCTCCTGCCCTGGACTACCTTGCTTTGCCTGACCTCTCTGCTACTGAATTGCACTCATTAGATCTGACATGCTGTTGCTGGACCTGGCGTGTGAACAAGACGATTGCTACTGCCCGCCCTGCCTTGTACCATACCGTCCTACCCCCTGTTAACCAAATCGGCCTTGTTCTGACTTCGCTACTTGCTCAGCCATCCATCCATCCTCATCGGAGGTCACCCGGCCCTCCTCATATCAGGCTCTCACCTGTTGGAGGCCCTGGACGAAAACACCCCCTACCACTGACCGGGTGTACTCAGTAGTTGCGGACTGGTCTCGGGGTTACTCCAAGTCCATCCCCATCCATCAGTGGCTATGGTGAAAAAGTACCTGGGGCTTTTTTATAAAAGGGGATTCCGCGCTCTAGGTGGACAACCCTTGACCAGTTGGTGTGCTAGTGCTGTTTTTACGCTAGGCGGGTCCAGTTACAACTACAGACCTCCTGGAAGGTCTAATGAGAAGGGGCGAGAGTCGGGCTGTTCCAACATGGTGATGGTCGCGGATAATGGAGGATTTATGGGAAGGAATGACTAGAAGGGTCTTTTGGATCTGATGGAACTTATCATTGGAGTTATTAATACAGACCTCCTGAGGCCTATGAGAAAGGGGAGAGTTAACTGTTCCAAACAGGGACAAGCTGGGACACACCAAACTAGTTTCAGTGATGAGAATGGAGTTTTGTTGGTGTTCACATAATAAAAGGCTTGGCTCATCTCAAAGAGTGGGCTGTTTTGTATTCATGCTGATACTCTTGTTTAGTAGGGACCATAAGAAGAAAAGGATGGAGGGGGGTTTTCCTCTGTTAGATGTGATGTGAAAGTGAGGAAGAAGGGTAGATGATCTTGTGGTTGGAGGTAGGTGATGGTGCGGAGGAGGAATTTGTAGGGTGGATATGATAGATGGGTCTGTAGTACTGATGGACTTCATCATTGGAGTAGACTACATTGGACGTCTGAGAATGTATTCATGGTGATCCTCGTGATGTATCTCGAAAGATGAGAGGACGGTTTCACTTGTTATATGTTGATGACTTGAAAGTGAGGTGGAAGGATGACTTTGTGGTTGGAGGTGGTGATGGTGAGAGGAAATGAATGATAGATGGGACTTATGGGACTGATGGACATTATCACTGCAGTATACTACTGACGTCTTCATGAGGGCTATGAGATTGGGGGAGAGGTCTGACTATGTTCAAACAAGAACAAGCTTGGGAACACCCAAACTACTACAGGACACAAGATGGAGACTAAACCTACAGGGATGGGCCGTACTTGTAGTGTTAAGAGACAGGTATAAAAGGAGAAGAATCATTTCATTCACACAAATCTGAAGGCCAGATTTTAATATCATATCAAAAACTGAGGAAAGACTGTCACAAGTTTAAGAAAGGAAATATCTTAATCTTCATTTTGCTTATACGAAAAAGAAAATTGTTAATTTATTTGCATTTTTTATCAGTTGCAAAAAATGTATACATCATGGGAAAACATCGTTAAATTTTACCACTTTCTGCCTGCACGGGTGGCTAGCCACCACGCAAAATGAATGCTTCTTCATGTTGAAAACTATCTGACACTGAAATTGTCCGTTCTGTCACATAATATCTGAATCTCCTCTTCTCTTCATCCACAAGAGCAATATCTAGCTCCTCTCTCACCATGATGTCTTCCATGGATAGCTTCTACTGAAGGTCAGGGGAGATCAGAGTACAACTGCTAGTTGGGACCTAATCCAGCAGTAACCCCGCTCCTTCTTTCTCACTCATGATGTCTCCATGGAAGCTTCTGCTGAAGGTCAGGGGGAGATCAGACTACACTGCTAGCAGTGACCCCCCCTCCTCCTTTCTCCTAGCAGAGGAAGCCAGGACACAACTTTGAAGTCTTTATAAAGTGTTTCCTCCATGATAAAGATCAGAGGAGTGCTCATGTAGGTTTATATCAAGGTGTGCTTATTCCTAGTGTGAGATCTCCGATATACGGGCAAAACTTGATTCATTATAGATGACATTTCCCGCACTCAGGACACTAATTACAGCTCGAGGGTTGTGTGGGTTTTCTGTGGTGTTTGGTAAGATAAGACTTCCTTGAAAAACATTTCCGAACTCACGGCTTCTCCTTTGTGAGATTTTTGATGTCTGACAAGTTCTGATTTCCGCACGTAACATTTTCTACACTCAGGACAGGAATACGGCTTCTCACCCATGTGCAATCTCTCTTGTGTCTCTGGTAAGGCTATTCTTATCTGAAAAACATTTCCCGCACTCAAGGCAGGAATATGGCCTCTCCCCGTGTGAGATCTTAGTATTAGATGTATTAACAAGGTCTGATTTCTGTATATAATATTTTCCACACTCAGGGCAAGTATACATGTTTTCGCCCGTGTGAGCTCTCTGATGTCTGGAAAGACAGTACTTCCGCGGAAAAACGTTTCCCAACTCAGAAACAGGAAAAAAAAAGGCTTCTCGCCCGATTGTGAGGTTTGTAACATCTGACATGTTCTGATTTATAAAGAAATAATTTCCTGCACTCAGAAGAAGAATGTAACTCAGCCTCCACGTGATCTCTTTATGAGCAGAAAGGCTTAGTTTTCAGGACATGAAAAACATATTCTCCCCTGAATCCCAGCCCCATCTTCCACAGTACGAGGGTGCTCAGAGTCCAAGGGATTCCATGGTCTCCCCACACTGGGAAGTCCACCATCCATAGCGGAGCTCATTGTCTTTTCTCCGGCACATAGAACCCCCGGCCCCTTCCACCACAGTACGAGGTTGCTCAGAGTCAGTGGGATTCCATGGTCTCTCCACACTGGGAAGTCCACCATCCATAGTGGAGCTCATTGTCTTTTCTCCGGCACAATTCTCCTGGGATGTCCTCATCTTCCATTTTACAGCCTGGAGATAAAGTGAGATGATCCTTTGAGGGTTTCTCCATGGCGGGGTCCTGGAAAAATAGAAAAAACATCATCAATAGATAGGAGAGGGTTAGTTCACTTCCATCAAGATTCCATCTGGATCAGGGAGATAGGAGGGAGCAGATGTTCTCTGTGGATGTCCAACCAGCTGGGACTCCTCCCCTCTTCAGTCAAAGGGCCTTTGCTCCTCCTCCCAGATCACTTCTACATTTACACCGCCTTGTCAGAGGAGGCAAGAACAATGAGGGCTGGGGGGGCGGGGTAAGGTAAACAGAGCAGAGGATAAGAGAAGAATATTTCTGGTCACCTGTGCTGATCTCTGTAGGAGTGTCTCCTCTATGAACTGTCCTCTCATTCCAGCCTCCTTCGTATATTGCTGATCATCCCTCACAATTACGTCTCTTCTACTTCACCCTCAACTTTCATGTTCATCAGAACTTCACCCTAAACCCAACAGAATGGCAGAAAAGAACATCTGTAACATAGAAGGATTTATGATGTGAGATCATATAGAACATGCTCATCTTGTAGGAGTCCACACATCGTCTCACATGTCAGAGTGTTCCATCACTTTATGTTCCCGACCCTTCAACCCCACCTACCTGATGATGGTGAGGGATGGTGTGACCTTCCTGTGTGGAATCCGGGAATACAGCAGGACGGGGACATTTCTCTGGGGGGTTCCTGGTATTAGGTGGCTCCATCCTAGAATCCTTATAGAGTTTGTTATATTTTTCAAAAAGCTTCTTCATTACACAAAAAAAAAAAAAAATACTCCTCATCCTCCACGTTATACTCTTCTTTAACATGTTACAATCCCAGAGGTTTCCACTCTAAATATATAATGAACCATGTATTGTAACAAACAAGACTGTGTTTAAACTGCAACTATCAATAATTGTTCCTCCTCTACCTGATGATGGTGAGAGATGGTGTGACCTTCCTGTGTGGAATCCCGGGAATACAGAGGATGGGGACATCTCTCTGGTGGGTTCCTGGTATTAGGTGGCTCCATCATATCCTTATGTCCATCTGAAAACTCCTCCATCACAATATACTCCTCATCCTCCTCTTTATACTCTTCTTTAATAACCATATTGTGACCCCCAAGATTTCCACTCTGAAATATATAAGAAAACATTCATGGTAATAAACATGTTTGTGTAGCAAATATAACTATCAGTGATTGTTTCTCATCTACCTGATGATGGTGAGGGGGATGGTGTGACCTTCCTGTGTGGAATCCCGGGAATACAGAGGACGGGGGACATCTCTCTGGGGGTTCCCATGACTGGATCATCTACCTGATGATGGTGAGGGATGGTGTGACCTTCCTGTGTGGAATCCCAGGAATACAGAGGACGGGGACATCTCTCTGGTGGGTTCCCATGACTGGATCCATCTGTAGGAAACACACACACTGACTGAATCCATTGTTTCTATGTGTTTATCAGATGATGGGGGAGGGTCTAGGTGGAGCCTCCATACTGCTCTCTCCTTTCCAATAAAAGTCTCCTCTTACCGGTGATGTGAGGGGTGGCTGATTGTCCATCATGACGTCCTTGTAGAGGTCCTTGTGTCCTTCTAAATTACTCCCACTCCTCCATGGAGAAATAGACAGCGACACCCCTGACACCTTATAGGAAACCTGACACACACAATGATACAGTCACCATCCAGACACATCCCTTGTCTGTTACTGGAGAATGTCCAGAATTCCCGGCACCGCTCACCTCTCCTGTCAGCAGCTCCATCATCTTCTTGGTGACTTCTAGAATCTTCTCCATGTTGTGTCTCTCAGGGTTTTAGGGGAGTCACATGGAGGCACTGTGATGGTCTATATGATCACCTGACTTCAGAAGAGGAAATCTCTGTATTGGGGAACCAATAGGAATATAATGTTAGACTCCCAGAATCCTCCTCACCTCTCCGGTCAGGTGTGTGTGATGTCATGTGACCTCCCAGAATCCTCCTCACCTCTACGGTCAGGTCTGTGTTTTATTAATAGAGATGAGAGTGATGCAGACCGAGTGGCCGCAGAGGCGGTGGGGTCGGTATGCTCCTACTACCGCTGAGCACCTTCCAGGTCCTCCCTAACCCCCCCTCCCCTATCCTACTCCTGCTTCGAGGCCCACTGCATCCGGCTCTTCTCTCCCACCCCTCTAAGGATTGCGGTAATCTATCGGCCTCCTGGTTCCGCATCCCCCCTTCCTAGACGACTTTGCCGCCTGGCTTCCCTTCTTCCTCTCCTCTGAGCTACCGACCATCATCCTAGGCGACTTCAATATCCCGATCAACGCCAACAGCCCGGCTACTTCCCAACTCCTCCTCCTAACCTCCTCTTTCGCACTCACACAGCACACTCAGTCCTCCACCCACTCCAATGGAAACACCCTGGACCTCGTTTTCTCCCATCTCTGCACCCCCATGACTTCACTAACCCCCCCTTCGCCCTCTCTGACCACCACCTCCTCACATTCTCCATCTCCCCCTCCCTTAACTCCCCCCCCGAAGCGTCTAACCATCACCCCCAACCTCCGCAATCTGAACCCGACCCATCTCCACCTGGCAGCTGACCGTCTGTATGACAGTATCCTCCCTCTGTCATGCCCTGACCTGGCCACTACTGCATACAACGACTCACTGTCAGCTGCCCTTGACTCCCTAGCACCCCTAACCACGCCTAGCATTAGACCCCGACCGCATCAACCCTGGCAAAACGACTACACGAAATGTCTCAAACGACGCAGTCGCGCGCTACAGCGCTTATGGCGCAAAACCAGATCCCCTTGCGCGTTCTCCCTCTATAAAGCCGCTTACCTCGCCTACACCACCTCCCTCCGCACCGCCAAGCAAGCCTATTTCATAACCCTTATCAACCCTCTCCACCTGTCCTCGCCGGCTCTTCTCCACTTTCAAAGCCCTGCTCTCTCCCCCCCCCCACCTCCACTCAGTACCTCACTCACCGCCCACGAGATTGCCAATCACTTCCAAAACAAGATTGACGCAATCCGTAAGGACATTGTCAACTCACAATCCACCTCTCCACCCAGCCTCCCGCCCTCCTTCAACCCCTCAACCCTCCTCTCTCCCGACTGCATAGCTGCACTACCCCCCACTATACCTAATGCCCCGCACACCATCACCTCCCCAACACTCCGCTCCTTCAGCCCAACTACCCCTGAGGAGGTCTCTAAGGTCTTCACTGAAGCCCGCCTCACCACCTGCCGCCTGGACCCTATCCCCTCACAGCTCCTACAGTCACCCCCCCCCCCTCCATCATTCACTCCCTCAGCCACATCTTCAATCTCTCCCTCTCCACCGGCACCTTCCCTTCCCCTCTAAAGCATGCACACATCACCCCCATGCTCAAAAAACCCTCCCTTGACCCCACTAACCTTCACAACCTTAGACCCATCTCCCTGCTGCCTTTCACTTCCAAGCTCCTTGAGCGCCTGGCCTACAATCGCCTAAGCGCCCACCTCACTGATAACAACCTCCTTGACCCCCTACAGTCTGGCTTCCATCCCCTGCACTCCACTGAAACCGCCTTACTTAAAATCACCAACGACCTGCTAACCGCCAAAGCCAATGGCCACTATTCTATCCTCCTGCTCCTTGACCTCTCCGCGGCCTTCGACTCTGTTGACCACCCTCTCCTCCTTGCCAAACTGCACTCCCTTGGCATCAGGGACGGTGCTCTCTCCTGGTTCTCCTCCTACCTTTCCCAACGCTCCTTCAGCGTCACCTACAACACTGCCACCTCCCCCTCCCTCCCCCTCTCTGTCGGGGTCCCCCAAGGCTCTGTCCTCGGACCCCTCCTCTTCTCCATCTATACCTCCTCCCTTGGCAAACGTATTCACTCCCACGGCTTCAATTACCACCTCTATGCTGACGACACCCAAATTTACCTCTCCTCCCCCCACCTCATCCCCTCACTTTCCGCCCGCATCGCCCACCTCCTAAACGACATATCAGACTGGATGTCGCTCCATTTCCTCAAACTTAACCTATCCAAAACTGAGCTCCTGGTCTTCCCCTCACCCCGCGCCCCCCCCCCCTCCCCATCCTCTCCATCACTACTAACAACGCCACCATCTCTCCCACCCCACACGCCAAAGTCCTGGGTGTCACCCTGGACTCCCACCTCTCCTTCCTACCCCACATCCAACTGCTATCTAGATCTTGCAGGCTCCACCTCCGCAACATCTCCAAGATACGCTCATTCCTCACCCCCAGACACCACCAAACAACTCGTACACTCCCTCATCATCTCACGCCTGGACTATTGCAATTCCCTTCTCACTGGCCTACCCAGACGAACGCTATCCCCACTCCAGTCGATCCTGAACTCAGCGGCTAGACTCATCCACCTCACCAACCGCTCCACATCTGCCACCCCCTCTGTCAATCCTTCATTGGCTCCCGATTGCCCAACGCATCAAATTCAAACTGCTAACCCTGACCTACAAAGCCATTCACAACGCCGCCCCAAACTACATAACTGACCTGATACCCAAATACTACCCTACCCGTGCCCTCCGCTCCTCACAAGACCTCCTACACTCTAGCTCGCT